TGACTGTTAATGAACAACTTAATACATTATCCCTCTTAGTAGTTTTTTTTGTCTGTCCTACTTAATATGACTGGTTTAATTCTGTAATTAATACACAGTTATTCTTAAGTGTTGAAATTTAACTGAAATGTGATCCCTGTTAAACATAAAAGTGGGAATAAGAGAGGGAAGAGATGTACAATTTGGGACATGCTCAAGCTGACTTGCCCCAAATGGTAGAGTTAGAAACATACCAGGGGATTCCAATTCAATCCCATCAAGGTGGCATGTACCAATGCCATCTCACTAGTCCAAGTGATCAATTTCAGTTCACAATTGATCATAATGAAAGGACTAAGAGTCAAAGGGAGCACATAAACAAGTCTAGTACCTGCTAACACTAACCGATAGAATAAATAAAGGGGAGAGTGAGCCAACATGGGAAGCGAGATACTCAGCAGACTCATAGAATGGCAGATGTCCTAAACAGCATTCTGGCCTCAGAATCAGCCCTAAAGGCATTCGGATCTGGCTGAAAAGCCCATGAGAGTATTTCAGGCATGGAAAGCCAAGACACTCTGGCAAAAAAAAAGACCTAAATGAAAGATCTCTGTGAGTGAGATCCCAGTGGAAAGAACAGGTCTTCAAAGAAGGAGGTACCTTTCTCTGAAGGGAGGAGAGAACCTCCACTTTGAATATGACCTTGTCTAAACAAGATAAGAGTCGGAGAACTCAAAAGGCTTCCATAGCCTTGGAATCTCATGACTGAAGCATAGGGAGATTACTGATGCCATAAACAGGAGTGTCAATTGGTAAAGTCAACAACAGGAGTCACTGTGCACTTGCTCCTCACATAGGATCTCTGTCCTTAATGTGTTGTACATTGAAACTTAATGCTATAACGAGTACTCAAACAGTATATTTCACTTTGTGTTTCTATGGGGGTGCAAACTGTTGAAATCTTTACTTAATGTATACTAAACTGATCTTCTGTTTAAAAAAAAAAGAAGAAATTAGCAATTCCCAACTTGACTCTCACTGGGATTAAACATGACAATAGGTCTGATCTGATTTCATCATCATTTAAAAAATCGTCTATTATTTTTCACTTTATGTTTCTGTGTGGGAGCAAACTGTTGAAATCTTTACTTAATGTATACTAAACTGATCTTCTGTATATTAAGAGAAGAAAAAAAAAAAAAACCACTGCCTCCAATGCCAGCATCCCGTATATATGCTGGTTCATGTCCAAGCTGTTCCATTTCTGATACAGCTCTTGCTAATGGTCTGAGAAAAGCAGCAGAAGATGACCCAAGTGTTTGGACTCCTGCCACCCACATAGAAGACTCAGAGGAAAATCCCAGCTTCAGCCTAGAGCAGTCGTGGCTGTTGTAGTCATCTAGGTAGTGAACCAGTGGATGGAAGCTTCTCTCTCTCTCTCTCTCTCTCTCTCTCTCTCTCTCTCTCAGAATTTCAAATAAATAAGTAAATCTATAAAAAATTCATCACCTAGAAAAATGTGGTTAACTATTAAAAAGAAGGGAAGAAAGCACTAAAGAATACAGAGGGAGTGACATTGGGGTGCAGCTGATTAAGCCACCAATTGAGACACCTGTATCTCTAGCAGAGTGCCTGGTTCATGTCCTGGCTACATCACTTCTGATCCAGCTTTCTGCCAATACAACTAGGGAGGCAGCACAGGATGACACAAGCACTTGGTCCCCTGCCATCTATGTGAGAAATCAGGATTGAGTTCCTGGCTGTTGGCTTCAGGCCAGACCAGCCCCAGATGTTGGTGGCATTTGGGGAATGAACTAGCAGATGAAAGATTCTCTCTCTCTCTCTCTCTCTCTCTCTCTCTCTCTCTCACTCTCTCTCTCTCCTCTCATACCTTTCAAATAAATAAACAATTTTTAAAAAGAACATGGAACTACCAGATATAGGAAACAGATACTGCCTCTTGGGATGTGTCAGAGTAGACATGGAAGGAAGACATGGAGAAAATCTCAACAAAGAAACCCTGAAATTTCCAATTCATTGCTGAAGGTGGGCTGTGGCCTACTGGCGGGTAAAGTTCACTGCTGTGGCCCAAGACAGAGCCAGTTACATGAAACTTCCTATTAGGATACTCGTGAGACCCCCCTGAGAAGCAAGGCAATCAGGAGGCAATGAAATGATATTGGGCAATGTCTACACTGTTGGCTACCCCAGCTGCATATACACCATTATACACATATTTGTGGGGATTTGTTTTTGTTTTGTTGGTGGGAATTTTTTTTTCTTTTTTAAAATTTTTAATTAGTTTTTAACAAAATGGTTTGTAGATATAATTCTAAGACCATAATGATATCCCCTTGTTACCTCATTCCTTCCCTGTCCCTTTTGCCCTCCCACCTTCCTTTCTTCTCCTTTTCGGTCTTTTCTTATACACACACTTGAACTCCTCACAATAGAAAAACAACTCTACCCTCTCACTTGTCAAGTCAAATCACTCTTAGAAAGGAAGAATCTCCCACTTTTTCCCCAAAATAAGGAAACAAACTGCACAATCATTATATTTATTCTTCAAATCCAAACAGAGTCCCACTGATGATTGTGTTATCTAAAGATTATAATATAGGGACAGGCTTGACCAGTACTGTGACATAGTGGGCTAAGCCTCCACCTGCAGCACCAGCATCCCATATGGGCATCGGGTCATGTCCCAGCTGCTCCACTTCTGACCAGCTCTCTACTATGGTCTGAGAAAGAAGTAGAAGATGGCCCAAGTCCTTGGGCCCCTGCAACTGCATAGGAGACCTGGAGGAAGCTCCTGGCTCCTGGATCCTGGCTTCAGATAGGCTCAACTCCAGCTGTTGCAGCCATCTGGGGAGTGTACCAGCAGATGGAAGGCCTTTGTCTCTGTCTCTCCCTCTCTGTGTCTGAGGCTCCACCTCTCAAATAAATAAAATCTTGGGCAGGCATTTGGCACTGTGATTAAGTGACCATGAGGTCTACATCTGATATTAGTGTAGCTGGATTGGAATCCATGCTAGATTCTCCATTCCAACTTCCTGATAATGTACTCCCTAGGAGACAGAAGGTGTTGGCTCATGTACTAGGTTACTGCCACTCACATAGCAGATGCAGATTGAGAACTTAATTCTTGGTTGCAGCTGGCCTAGCCAGATATTTGGGGAGTAAACCAGTAAGCAGAAGAATCTCACTCTGCTGTTCAAATAAAATAAATACATTTTTAAAACACTATAATATATTCTTTTAAATCTCCAACATCTTATACATAGTGTCATAAGAAAGAAGAAAATGTTTACTATATACAAAGACATACACAAGACAGTCAAAGACAAAATAACCTAAACTCTCCCATTAGTCAGCATTTTGTTGCTATAATGAAATACCTGAGGCAAAGCAACTTTATAAAGACAAAATGTTTATTTTGGCTCATGGTTCCAGAGATTAAAAATCCATTAATGTGTGATGCAAGCTGGAGGATTATAAATTATAATTTGAAACTATATGGAATATACAAGGGAGACATGGATGAAGTTCCAGGCTCCTGACTTTGTCTTTACCTAGCCCAGGCCATTTCAGCTAAGAGAAGAGTGAACCAGCAGAAAGATCTCTCTCTCTCTCTCTCTCTCTCTCTCTCTCTCTCTCTGTCCTCTCTCTGCAACTCTGCCTTTAAAACAAGTAAATAAATCTTTAAAATAAAATAAAAATGAAAAAAGAAAGAGCCAGGACTCAAACCCAGGCATTCAAATATGGGATGTGAGACTCCCAAGTGGCATCAGAACAACCACACCACATGTCCCTGGTCAAAGTTATTTACCTTGTGGAGTAAACACAATTTCATGCCTGAAGAGACCAAACCCTCAATAGTCCTGTTTCTTTTTGTTTTCTATGGCTTTCCCCTCCCTGTAACAACTGGACTTGGAAGTGCTAAGAGGCAATACATTGATTAACTAGAACCATGCTCATGGGCAAAGCTTTCTACAGTTGAACTTGCTACTGAAAACTCTCTCCTTCATTGTCATCTTAGTCAATACATACTCCTTACTCTCTCTTCTTCCCACAGGTGTAGTGTTGACACAAAAAGATAATCCAGGCCCTCAAACTTAGATTCCATGAACCAACACAGCACAATTTTTCACTGGTAATAGGAATTTACTGAGGTATGGAAAAATAGAGGTGTTTCCTCATTCCAGAAAGGGAGGTCAACAACATAGACCATTAGATCCTTCCCATTAAAAACCATCAGTCATCTGCTTCCATGGATTTTTGAATGGCCAATGTTAGTAATCAAATAGAACAAACCCTCCCAGAATAGACCTGGGGACCACCCTCAACCTCTTAGTACCTCTGTTCAGACTCAGTGTGGAAAATCAAACGCTCCCTTCTTGAACACTGAAATTCAGAGCTCAGTTTACTTCATATCCAGAGGGAATTGAAAACTAATAAAACAATTTTTAAAGATTTTTTTTATTTATTTGAAAGGTAGAGTTACAGAGGGAGGGGGCAGAGACAGAGAGAGACAGAGAGATCGTCCATCTGCTGGTTCTCTCCCCAAATGAACATTAACAGCTGAGGCTGGGCCCAGCTGAAGCCAGGAGCCAGGGTCTCCCAGGTGGGTATGAGGGCTCAAGCACTGGAGTCATCCTTGGCTGCTCTCCAGGCACATTAGCAGGGAGCTGGATTGGAAGTGGAGCAGCCAGGACATGAACCAGTATCCATATGGGATGCCAGTTCTGCAGATTGTGGCTTAACCTGCTATGCCACAATTCCAGCCCCAAAAAACAATTTTTTAAAAGTAAAAATTACAATTACCCATAGTAAAATTTAGCCTATCCTAAACCACTTCAAAAAACAGTCAACTTATATCTTCGGCTCTTTGAACACAGGCCATGGACCAACAATTCTCATAAACACAGGAGGAGAAAATTCTGGGACCATCTTGGATTCACCTCAGAGCCTTTTGCCACAGGGAGTCTGCAGCCCCAGCAAGAGTCACATTGAGAAATCAGGGGCAGTGAGGGGTTCTATGTGGTGCAAGGAAGCAATGGAGACTCAGCCCCAGGGGGAGCACCATCAACTCCAGAGCCTGAGCTGAGAACCTCCTGATGGTGCCTCACAGGCTCCTCAAAGGAAGAATTGTTAGGAGGCACAGGGAGCCCCTCAGATTCATGTGCCACTAAGCAGATGCTCAGGGACACATTTCCTGACTTTAGCATGAAGTATGGAAAGAGGGTTCCAACGAAAGAAGCTCGAGGGAAGGAGAAAATGTGGGAGCCATCAGTCATGTTATAGAAGGAGACGTCCCTTCCATCATAGTCCAGGAAAATCCCCACCCTGCTGGGATGCTGCCTAAGGGATAGAGATGTTGGATTGGAAGTAGTACAGGCATTATACCCATTATTAAAACACCCCACAACCCAGAACCCCTTATCTGGGGACTCTGTATAAAAGCCTGTCCTTTTCACATGCTCCCTACAGACGCCCAGAGCAAACTCGCTGTCCACTCCATTCCTGATATCCACCTCCCAGTAATATCTTCCCCACGTGATGCCCTCAAGGCCCAACACAGAGCAGCGGCCATCTGAGACAACACAGGTGTCCTTCCAGGTCACACTTGTCTTTCCATGAGTCAGAGCAAGGTTCTTATGGGCAGAGCCTGGATCCAGAGTGACAGACCCTGCAGGGAGAGTTTCCAATCATACACAGTTCCTTCTTGCCCAATAACAAAGATACACAACCACCCCCAGAGTCATGTAGCTGCTCATAGGAGGGGCAAGGCCCCTGAGACCCAAGCCCATGGCCTCCAAGCAGGAGGAAGAACCAGAACCCTCTGAGTTAGATGTGTCACCTTGAGGACCAGAGCCAGCTTTGTTCCTCTCACTTCAGCCCCACCCTCCACTGTTGAAGGTGCCAGCATCTACACCAGCACAGAGAACTGAAGCAGAGGCCAGAGCCATGGGAACCACAGGAGGAGCACCCAGAAAGAGCATGAAGTCACTCACAGGCCTGGAACTGTTCCTCTCGCCAATCTACAAGAAAAACAAACATTGCTTATGAGGGGTCTGCACAAACTTTAAATGTCGGCTCAGCACCTACTTTCCTGAAATAGTATTGTGGGAGAGATAAGGGAAATGTGTAGAAGACATTCAGCTGATGGACTGTTTCTTACACACACACACACACACACTCCTTCAAAGGCTAAACATAAAGCTAACACCCCAGGATTAAGTATTAGACACAGACCTGAATGGAAAAGTCATTGCCCAGATTTCACTATGAAATTGTGCTGATCTGTTTCCTAGCCACAAAATCCAACCTGAGGGGCTGGTGCTGTAGAGCAGAAGGTTAAGCCTCTGCCTGTGGCAGCAGCATCCCTTATGGGTACCAGTTGGAGTCCCAGCTACTCCACTTCTGATCCAGCTCCCTGCTAATTGCCTGGGAAAGCAGTGGAGGATGGCTCAAGTGTTTGAGCCTCTGCACTCACGTGAGAGACCTGGAAGAAGCTCCCAGCTCCTGGCTCCTGGCTTTAGATTAGCCCAGCTCTGGACACTGCAGCCATTTAGGGAGTGAACCAGCAAATGGAAGACCTTTCTCTCTTTCTCTCCCTCTCTCTGTCTGTAACTCTGACTTGCAAATAAATAAATAACTGTTTTAAAAATCCTAGATTGGATTAAGATGTTGGAATAGGGAGGGAGCTTACTGCTTTGTCTAGGAGAAGATATTTTTTAAAAAGTGGACAAAGTGCAGTCTCAGGGAAAAGTTAGGGGAAAAACAACAGAGAATACTGCACACAAATTATAGGGACACTGTGGACCTACATAAAGGATGTGGACAAACACAACTCAGGACTCCAGCAGCCGAGAAACTCAGCAGTAGCTCTGGAATGAGGTGAGACCACTCTGCAGCAAGCCACTAGCAATAAAGCTGCATGAAGAGCTTGGTGGGAATTGGGCTTGGAGCCCTGTGGGGAATAGTATACTTACCAAACTAGAGGAGAAAAAAAATAGGGGATGAGGGCTCATTTCTCACTCCCAGACCACCCTGCACCCAGTGTCCTGTAGAGGGTGGGCACCATTTTGGACATATGTAAAAGCTTCCCTAGCTCATGTTTGCACGCCCTGCTAGCAGAGACTCCTTAGTCTGGCAGGGAGAACTGACAATGGGGTGGGTGCTTGTGACTATGGAAAGCTTGCATGCTGGGACTGTGAATACACTGTGGCTGTGTGGGAGGGCTCAGAGTGTGGCTGGGATTTTGGGCAGTCACTGTGGGAGGCTCCACATGCTAAGGTCTCCCTGATTCCCTGGGGAGGGTCATTGCTACAGAATCTGTGCTTACATGGAGGGCCACACAGATCCTTTTTGGAGTTCTTGTGGCAGTGCAGATGAATACTATACATACTGGGGTTAGCACTCAGGCAATGGTACCTTTTAGCAGAAGAGGTAAGATGACACTATGCTAACACAGATGAACAAACCTTCCTACTGATTAAAAAAAAAAGGGAGATTTACAATGTCCAATCTGGGTGTCACCTTGGACACCCCCTTCACCCTGGAGAACTGAACAGAGCTCCCTGGACACAAAAGCAAATGTCTCTAAGTTCAGTGAAAAAGAAGGCACTCCATTAATCCACAGAGGCATCATCAAAAGATTAAAGCCATCACAGGGAAAAAAAAACAAAGAAGAAACAAATGAGTATCTCCACAAATGCCAATTAATAAATGCAGCAATTTAAGAAACAAGAATTGAGAAGACAACATGACACACCCAAAAGAACACAACACTTCAATATTAGATTGTGAAAATGAAGAGATTGAAGAAATGCTAGAAATGGCTTTCAAAAAATTGATTATAAGATTACTGAGAAGCCATCAGTAGAAAATGCATGAACTAATAAAATCCATACATGACATGAAAGAAAATTTCTCCCACAGAACTGAGATCTTAAAAATCAAAATGAAATCTTGGAAAAGAATAATTCAATAGAACAAATAAAAATGCAGTGGAAAACCTTAACAGTGAGCAGAAGAAAGAATATCTGAATTAGAAGACAAATCTCTGCAAATTTTATAGTCAGAAAAAAAAAGAAGAAGCTATTAGGAAACTAAAAACACTGTTGGAAATATACAGAATACTGTCATACAATCCAACATATGGATCTTAGGAGTTTTTGAAGGTGTGGAAAGAGAGAAAGGATTAGAATACCGTATTAGTGGCCGGCGCCGTGGCTCAGTAGGCTAATCCTCTGCCTTGCGGCGCTGGCACACTGGGTTCTAGTCCCGGTCAGGGCTCCGGATTCTGTCCCGGTTGCCCCTCTTCCAGGCCAGCTCTCTGCTATGACCAGGGAGTGCAGTGGAGGATGGCTCAAGTGCTTGGGCTCTGCACCCCATGGGAGACCAGGATAAGCACCTGGCTCCTGCCATTGGATCAGCGCAGTGCACCAGCTGCAGCGCGCCGGCCGCAGCGGCCATTGGAGGGTGAACCAACGGCAAAAGGAAGACCTTTCTCTCTGTCTCTCTCTCTCTCACTGTCCACTCTGCCTGTCAAAAAAAAAGAAGAAGAAAAAGAATACCTTACCACAGCACACTATAGTCAAACTATCCACAGTAAAACATAAAGAAAAGATTCTAAAACATGCATGAGAGAAATTCCAGATGACTGCCAGAAGATCTCCAATTAATCTCACAACTGACTTCTCATCAGAAACCCTACAGGCTAGGAGAGAATGGCAAGATATATTCCAAGTCTTAAGAGAAAAAACTGTCAACCCAGAATAATGTACCCTACAAAGTTTGCATTTTTAAGATTTATTTATTTATCTGAAAGAGTTACACAGAGAGAGGAGTGGCAGAGAGAGAGAGAGAGAGAGAGAGAGAGAGAGAGAGGTCCTCCATCCAATGCTTCACTCCCAAATTGGTTACATCGGCCGGAGCTGCACTTTTCCAAAGCCTGGAGCCTCCTCCAGTTCTCCCACACAGGCATAGGGGCCCAAGGACTTGGGCCATCCTCCACTGCTCTCCCAGGACAGAGCAGAGAGCTGGATTGGAAGTGGAGCAGCCAAGTCTTGCACCGGTGCCCATATGGAATGCGGATGCCTCAGGCCAGGGCATAACCCATTGCACCACAGTGCTGGTCCCTAACATTTGCATTTATGAATGAAGGTGAAATAAAGACCTTCCATAACAAACAGAAGTTGAATTTGTCACCACCCATCCAGCCTTACAAAATATATAAGGATGTGCTACACACAGAAGCACAAAAAGATAAACATCATTATGAAAGAATGTGAAGGTAGAAACTCTCCTAGTAAAAGCACAAAGGGAATCCAAAGTAAAAAATAGGAATATTTATGGAAAAAATGGCAAGGCCAAATCATTACTTATTAACCGTCACCTTGAATATAAGTGGCCTAAACTCTCTAGTAAAAAGACATAGATTGGCAGAATGGATTTAAAAAAAAAATCTATCTATTTGCTGCCTACATGAAACACATCTCACCATAAAAGATACACGCAGACTGAAAGTGAAAGAATAGAAAAAGATATTTCATGACAATAGAAACCAAAAAAGAACTGATGTAGCCGTCTTAAGATCAGACACAATAGACTTTAAAACAAAAACTGTTAAAAGAGACAAGGGCACTATGTAATGATTAAGCAATCAATTCAACAGGAAGATGTGCCTATTATAAACATATATGCACCTAATTACAGGGCACCTGGCTATATAAAAGAAATGTTAATGGATTTAAAAGAATACCTAGACTCCAATACAAAGTACTGAGGGACTTCAACACTGTACTTTCAGCAATGGACAGATCAACCAGACAAAGAATCGAAGGGGAAACAGCAGATTTAATTGACACTATAGACCAAATGGACCTAACAGATATCTACAGAACTTTTCATCCTACAGTTGAAGAATACACATTCTTCTCAGCAGTACATGGAACTTTCTCTAGGATTGACCACGTTAGGTCATAAGACAAGTCTCAGCAAATTCAAAAAAATCAAAATCATATCAAGCATGTTCTCTGACCACGATGGAATGAAGCTGGAAATCAATACCTCTGTGATGCCTAGAGCATATGCAAACATATGGAAATTTAACAACATGCTCCTGAATGAACAGTAGGTCATTGAAGAAATCAAAAAAATTCAGGAAACAAATGAAGACAATAATAGAACACACCAAAACTTATGGGATACAGCAAAAGCATTGTTAAGAGGAAATTTTATAGCAATTGGAGCCTCTGTCAAAAAATTGGAAAAGCACCAAATAAATAAGCTATCAATGCATCTCAAGGACCTAGAAAAACAATAGAAAACCAAACCCAAGTCTACTGTGCAAAAAGAAATAAAATTAGAGAAGAAATGAACAAAATTGAAACAAAAAACAATATAAAAGATCAGCAGAACGAAGAGCTGTTCTTTTGAAAAAATAAATAAAATTGACACATCATTGGCCTAACTAACCAAAAAAGGAGGGAGAAGACCCAAATTAACAAAATTAGAGATGAAAAGGGAAAATTAACAACAGACACCACAGAAATTTTAAAAAAGCATCAGAAATTACTGCAAAAAGCTGTATGCCAATGAACTAGAAAACCTAGAAGAAATACACAGATTCCTTGAAACATACAACCTACCTAAATTGAAGAATGAAGACATAGAAAATCTAATCAAACCCAGAACCAAGACAGAATTTGAAGCATTAATAAAGACCCTCCCAAAAAAGAAAAGCCCAGGACCAGATGACTTCAGTACTGAATTTTACCACACATTTAAAGAAGAACTGGTGTCAACACTGTGGTGTAGTGGGTAAAGCCGCCACCAGCAGTGCTGCATCCCTTATGGGCACCAGTGCAAGTCCCAGCCGCTCCACTTCTGATCCAGCTCTCTACTACGCTCTGGTAAAGCAGTAGAATATGGGCCAAGTCCTTGGGCCCCTGCAACCATGTGGGAGACCCTGAAGAAGCTCCTGACTCTTGGCTTCAGGTAGGCACAGCTCCAGCCATTGTCGCCATCTGGGGAGTGAACCAGCAGATGGAAGATCTCTCTCTCTCTCTCTCTCTCTCTCTCTCTCTTTCTCTCTACCCCTCTGTAACTCTGCATTTCAAATAAATAAATAAAAATTATAAAAAAAACTAACTCCAATTCTTCTCAACCTATTTAAAACAATAGAAAAAAGGACTCCTCCAAAATTCTTTCTATGAAGCAACATCACCTTAATTCTTAATACAACAGAGAAAGAGAACCACAGACCAAATTCCCTGATGAAATGAGATGCAAAAATCCTCAATAAAATACTAGCCAATTGAATCCAACAACATATCAGAAAGATCATTCACCCAGACCAAGTAGAATTTATGGTTCAATATTTGCAAATTAAACAATGTGATACATCACATTAACAAACTGAAGCTCAATAGATGCAGAGAAAGAATCTGGTAAAATACAAACCCTTTCATGATGAAAACTCTTAACAAATTGGTTATAGAAGGAATAATCCTCAACATAACCAAGAAAATTTATGACAAACCCATGGCCAGCATCCTATTGAATGGGGAAAAGTTGGAGGCATCCCCACTGAGATCCAGAACAAGAAAAAGATGCCCACTGTCACCGTTGCTATTCTATATAGTACTAGAAGTTTTAGCCAGAGTCTTTAGGCAAGAAAAAGAAATCAAAAGGATACATATTGGGAAGGAGGAAGTCAAACTATGCCTATTGGCAGATGACATCATTCTATTTATTGGGGATCCAAGACTCCACTAAGAGAATATTGGAACTCATAGAAAAGTTTGGTAAAGTAGCAGAGTAAAAAATCAACACATAAAAATAAACAATCTTTGTATACACAGACAATGCCACAGCTGAGAAAGAACTTTGAAGATCAATCCCATTCACAATAGCTACAAAAAATATCAAATATTCTTGATACTGGAATCAATTTAAGCAAGGATGTCAAAGATCTCTATGATGAGAATTACAAATCATTAAAGAAAGAAATAGAAGAAGATACAAAAAAATGGAAAAATCTTCCATGTTCATGGATTGGAAGAATCAATACCATCAAAATGTCCATGCAACCAAAGGCAATTTACAGATTCAGTGTGATACCAATCAAAATACCAAGGACATTCTGGTCAGATCTAGAAAAAATGATGATGAAATTCACATAGAAACAAGGAGACTCCAAATAGCTAAAGCAACCTTATACAACAAAAACAAAGCCAGAAGCATCGTAATATTAGATTTAAAGACATACTACAGGGTAGTTATAATCAAAACATCCTGGTACTGGTACAAAAACAGATGGCTAGACCAATTGAACAGAATGGAAATGCCAGAAATCAGTCCAAGCATCTACAATGAACTTATCTTTGACCAAGGAGCTAAAATCAATCCCTGGAACAAGGACAGTCTCTTCAAGAAATGGGGTGCTGGAAAAACTGCAGAAGTACAAATCAAGACCCCTACCTTACACCTTACACAAAAATCCACTCAAATGGATTAAAGACTTCAGCCTCCAACCCAGTATCATCAAATAATTAGAGAACATTGGAAAAACCATGCAAGATATAGGCATAAGCAGAAAGTTCTTGGGAAAGACCCCAGAGGCACAGGCAGTCAAAGCCAAAATTAACAAATGGGATTACATCAAATTGAGAAGCTTCTGTACTGCAAATGAAACACTCAGCAAAGTAAAGAGGCAACTGACAGAATGGGAGAAATTATTGGCAAACTATACAATTATGGGTTAATAACTAGAATATATAAAAAGTTCAAGAAACTCAACAACAGAACAAACAGTCCAGTTAAGAAATGGACAGGGCCAGTGCTGTGGAATAGCAGGTAAAGCTGCCTGCAGTGCCGGCATCCCATATGGGCACCAGTTCAAGTCCTGGCAGTTCCACTTCTGATCCAGCTCTCTGCTACGGCCTGGGATAACAGTAGAAGATGGTTCAAGTCCTTGGGCCTCTGCACACATGTGGGAGACCTGTAAGAAGATCCTGTCTCCTGGCTCCTGGCTTTGGATCAGTGCAGCTCTAGCCATTGCAGCCAACTGGCAAGAACTAGCAAATGGAAGACCTCTCTCTCTCTCTCTCTCTCTCTCTCTCTCTCTCTCTTCTCTCTCATTGTCTCTCTCTGCCTCTCCTTCTATCTCTGTGTAATTCTGACTTTCAAATAAATAAATAAATAAATCTTTTTTAAAAAGAACTGGACAAAGGACTTAAACAGGCATTTTTCAAAAGAAGAAGTGCAAATGTGACCAACAGACATGAAAAATGCTCAAGATCATTAGCCATAGGGAAATGCAAGTTCAAAACCACAGTGAGGTTCCACCTCATCCCTGTTAGAACGATCTTCATACAGAAATCAACAAACAACAAATACTGGTGAGGATGTAGGGGAAAAGGTACCCTAATCCACTGTTGGTGGGAATGTAAACTGGTAAAGCCACTGTGGAAGACATCATGGAGATACCTGAGAAATCTGAATATAGACCTTACCATATGACCCAGCAGTCCCACTCCTAGGGATGACATCAGCATACGACAATAAATTTATTTTTTTTTAATTTAGGTTTTTACCAATGTTGTCAAAGAGATGTTCTGGAGTCGATCATATTTCCCAACCACGGCCCTGAAAGCCCTCAGTGCACCTCCTCAGTTCCAACTCCCCGGCTGTGGCCTTCAGCCCACTGCAGCCACTCTGAGCCACCCCAGTCCTGCACGCAGCATCGCTCCACACACTGCTTTACTTCCTCCCTCATCTCTACCTCTCTTCCCCACAGATTCTTTACTTTCATGGTTTTCTCACCACCCTTTCTCTGGTAAACAATTGCAACTTTTCTAGATTTCTCTTTTTTATCATCTTCATATGTTACCGCTAAACAAAAATCAAACAAGGTCATAAGCCCTTAGACAAATACAGAATTCTCCTAAAGTGGGAGAAAGTGGTGTGAGAAATCACACAGTACATTTTTGTTCTTGTTTAAAAAAAAACCTCCTCAGGGCAAACATTTGGTCTCACAGTAAAACTACTGGTTAAGTTGTCCACAATCCATATCTGAGTGCTTAGGTTTGATGCCCAACTCCAGCTCCAATTATATATTCCTCCTAGTGCACACCCTGGGAGGCAGAAGGTAACAGATGAAGTAGTTAGATCCCTGCCATCCATGTGAGAGACTAAGAATAAGTTCCTGGCTCTTTGGGGCCAGTGCTGTGGCATAACGGGTAAAGCTGCTGGTGGCAGTGCTGGCATCCCGTATGGGCACCAGTTTGAGTCCTGACTACTCTACTTCTGATCCAGTTCTCTGCTATGGCCTGGGAAAGCAGTAGAATATGCCCCAACTCCTTGGGCCCCTGCACCCACATGGGAAACCCGGAAGAAAGTTCTGGCTCCTGGCTTTCGATTGGTCCAGCTCCAGCCCTTGTGGCCATTTGGGGAGTAAAGCAACAAATGGAATATTTCCTTCTCTCTCTCTCTCTCTACTCCCTCCTCTCTCTCTGCCTCTGCCTCTGCCTCTCAGTAACTCTGCCTTTCAAATAAATAAATAAATCTTTTTAAAAAATTCCTGACTCCTTGCTTTGGCTCTGGCCTAGCCCTGAAACAGCCCTGGCCATTGCAGGCATTTAGGGAATAGAACAACAGACGAGACTGTGTGTTGGGTCTCTCTCTCTCTCTCTCTCTCTCTCTCTTTTCTCTCTCTCTCTCCCCTTAAATAAGTACATTTTATTTAATAAAAAAAGAACGTGGCAGGTATTTAGCCTAATGGTTAAGATACCTACCAGCCACATTGAAATGCTGGGTTCAACTTCCAACTCCAACTACTGACTCTAACTTCCTGTTTATGGCTTACGGAGACTGAGAAACAACACTGAGGGGTTGAGATGTTGACATCATGTGGGAGACCCTATTGAGGGAAAAGCACTGGCTTTGGCCAGGCCTAGCAGTAGCTATTGCTGGCAGCTGGGGAGAAAACTAACAGATAGTCTGTCTCTCTCTCCACCCCACCACCACCATTCTCTCTCTCTCTCTCTCTCTGCCTGTCAAGTAATCTACTTAGAATGCTAAAACTGCTGTGAATAATTTCAGTTATTTCATAGATGCCAACTGAGGAACCCATCCACAAATATCCTGGAGGCTCCATTTCCCAGATTTAGAACATTTACTCAGAGTAACTAATTCCTTAGCAACCAAGGATGTTCAGAGGAAGAACCCAGCTCCACAGTGGTCAGAGCAAGAAGAAGCCCAGAGAAGACCAACATCCCAGAGGACCAGGAAGGGTATAGAGGAGGCTGGCCTTGTGACTGAATAGGTGAAGCAGCCACCTGCATCCCATATGGGTGCCAATTTCAGTTCCAGCTGTCTCACTTCCTATCCAGCTCCTGCTATGGCCTAGGAACGCAGCTGAAGATGGTCCATGTGGTTTGATGATTGCACCCATTTGGGATACCTGGCTGAAGCTCTTGACTCCTGACTTTGACTTGGCCCAGCCCCAGCCATAGAGAAAATTTCAGGGTGAACCAGTAGATGGAAGATCTGTCTCTCTGTCTATCTCGCCCTCTCTCTTTCTCCCTGTCTGTAACTCTGCTTTCAAATAACTAAAATAAATCGCAAAAAAAAGGTTATAGAACTAATGACCCTCTTAGACTTGAGATCTAAGCAGGAAAGCATGATTTCTAGGGATTCCTAGAGACAGCAATTCTTGATCTACACAGTTGTTGCCTTGCTACTGTCTCTCCATGGTCAGCACACCAATGAGAAAGATCAGTTGAATGAGGGGTTTTCAGAGGATATTGCTGACCCTAACAGGGACCTGCAGTGGCGAAAGAGCCCAGAATGGAAACAGAGCTGTACTTCTAACTAGGAGTCCCAGGGGTCTTCTTTGGAGGCTACAACACTGACAAGGAGAGCAGGGATGCCCAGCCCATCTGGAGTTGAGTCCACAGGTAGAGAAGGGGCAGGGCAGAGGCAGGGCAGGGAGGCAGAGGAACCATCAGGTCACTTACCAGCATACAGCTGCGCCTTCCTCCAGGCTGAAAGGAAACACACGCTGGTGAGACCACAGCCACACCACCTGCTCAGCCCTCCCTGCCCTCTGTGCTGAAGGTCAGACTCTGCAGGAGGAGAGGGGCTGCACAGGAGGGGCCTCCTGCAAGTGCAGACAGCAGAGGATTGTGGGAAACTCCCTGACCACAGATCAGGAAGCCTGCAGGACAGCTGAGTTGCACCCCTGCCCCAGTGCTGGGTGACTTTTGGCTGTCAGCTCTCTGCCCTGTGCCTTAAAACCCACAAAGTCTCCTGGCACCTTGATAATGCTTGTTAGGATAAAAAACTATATATGGGAAAATATTTAGCAAAAAATATAACTGACTCCATATTTATGACAATTAATTACCACATGGCTATTCCAGGCATGGGGATTTAAAAAAAATTAAAGTACAAAAAGAATAAAGTATGTGACCATGAGACCTAGGTCAGAGGGGCCAGCATTCTTACACAATATTTCTGGAGAGAAGCATCACCATTCTCAGAAACATGCATCTCATCCCATCACATCCCCACACCTGCTCAGCAGTTTTCACCAGCCCCTTGTAGGAACAGGGAGGAATGGCTCCCCCTGGTGATGCTTTGCAAGGAGAAGGGAGATGACACTCCCAGCTGAATGAGCCATTTAAGTGTATCCTGTCTCTCAGGAAATCTAGAGCAAATGGATTTTGGCTTCCTGGAACAGACCAAGAGCTAGGTGCATTGCAGGCTAAAGCACTAACAATGTAAATATGGGGCATGCCAGGGTTGGAATAAAACCCAGAATGCAGGACAAACTCCATGACCCATCATTGCACTCAGATCTGAAAGCAGATAGGAAAAACTCCTCAAACAGATGTGAGACAGCCCAGGGAGCAAGGCTCCATGTCCCAGCAACTGGGACTGCTGTTCCCAGGAAAGGGAGTCCATGTGTCTGTGCCCAGACAGAAACAAGGAGGGGACAGCTGGGCACAGGTGGGACAGGAGACCAAGGGACATCTGGAGAGTCACTCACCAGCCAGGTAAGCTGCCTTCCTCCAACCTGAAAAGCAGCACACAGGGAACAGGTGAGCTGAGACCCAGAGAGTCCTCCACAAAGAGACATGGGGAGTTCAGGAGGGGGAGCAGAGCTTACCTAGATCTGCCTGGAGCTCATCTGAAAGAGAACGGGGACAGCGGGGAGATGAACACCAATGCCAGAAAAGGAAGGCTACCTTCTTTGGGAATCCACAAAAAAGGTATTTTCTGTAACCTAGAAAATGTCCAGACCCACCCATACCACCACGCCTCCTGCTGTCCTCTCTGATCTCCACAGCCTGCTCTGGGCTTGGGATGCTGAATCTCTCTGGGGAGTTGCACCCATGGACCCCAGTCCTGTCATGTTGTCTCTCTCAGCACCAGCTGCTGCACCTGGCCTCCTACCTCTGGCCTTCAGTGCCTCCTCCTCTGCCCTCTGGTCCTCCTCCTTAGCCTGGTGCAGCTCCTGCTGTTTCTGCCTCTCCTGCACCTTTGCGGAGTGCTCTCTCCTGGTGAAGAAGCCAGCCCCAAAGAGCAGGAGCCCCAGTACGATCAGGGTCACGGCGAATGCTGCCTTCCAGGGAGAGGCCTGCGGGAAGAAGGGCTCTGGGGCCCAGGCGGAGACCCAGTCAGGGGAGCACCCAGGCCCACCCCGCACACTCAGGGATGCCGGCACCACCCCCCAAGCCCTACCAGGAATGAGAAGCAGCACCGACCTGGGATGGACACGGCCATCGCCTTCTCCTGGCCCAGGATGGGATTGAGGACAGAGCAGCTCACACTCCCTGCAGAGCTGTCTCTCACCACCAGAGCCGCCTCCACGCTGAACAGCCCTGCTGTGTCCTGGGCATGGGCCTCAGAGAACTCCAGGAACTTCTTCCCGCTGACGTCTGTCCACTGCACCTGGGGCTTCGGGAACCAGCCCGAGGCCTTGCACACCACGCGGACCCCGTCCTGCTCCGGCCCTTCAATGTGCACTTGAGGGGCAGAGCCCAGGCCTGCAAGAGGGGAGCTGTGGAGACCTTGGAGACCACTTGGCCCAGGGCCTCAGCAGGGTCTGGGTGTGGCACAGCCACAGGGGAGTCACTGTGTTCCATTCTGGAGATTCCATGGGAGGGCATGGTCTGAAGGAGGGGAAAGAGCCCTGGGACCCATGGGGGCACAGAGTAGGGGGCTTTCTCCTCAACTCTGCAGATGAGAACACTGAGGCCCAGAGAAACCAGGAGCAGGAACTTGACCCCAGGGCTCTATCTGTGAACTTCTAGTCTCCTCACTTCACACACACGCTGGGGGCACCTGCTTCTACACCTACTGCCCCTATTTCTCTTGTTTATTTTTGTAAGATATTTATTTATTTATTTGAAAGTTAGAGGTACAGAGAGAGAGAGAGAAAGAGAGAGAGAGATCTTCCATCCACTGGTTCACTCCCCACATGGCCACAATGACCAAGGCTCTGCCAGGCTGAAGCCAGGAGCCAGTAGATTCTTTCAGGTCTCCCAGGTAGGTAGCAGGGACCAAACTCTTGGACCATCCTCCTCTGTTTTCCCAGGCCATTAGCAGGGAGCTTGATTGGAAGTGGAGCAGCCAGGTCAGACAGCTGTTCTCCCTAATTAGAACTGCAACCACACTTCCCTCTTGCTCACCTTCCAGTAATCTTCCTTATAGTCACCAGATTGAGCATTCAACCACTGACTGCTCCATTTAAAATATCCACAGCTCTGCATCCAGACTCCCTAACACAGTACACAGTGCCTGCACTGATCTGATATCTGCCTTGCACACTAACGCCCTCTGCCTGCCCCACCACCAAACCCCATGACCTGTGACCCTCAAGGTCCACACACCCAGTGCCAAGGACTATTTGGCTAACTACAAATGATCTTGTTCACCATGCTGTCTATGGCCCTACCTCCTCACATTCCAGTCCATACAGGGTTCTTCAGAACCTCGCTTGCTGAACTCATGTGCCAGCATAAGTATTTATGCCAGAACACCTTTTTTGGATCATGGTGTACAGTTTTATCTAAGACTGTCTATCTCTTTATTGCAATATTGTCACTGCTTGCCACCCCCCATCACTGCTTGCAACCACCACAATGGTGGTACCCAGAGCACACCAAATGCTCCCATCCCAAAAGCTTCAAACTGGGTGCAGTACTGCACTAAATCCTGCGACTCCCCTCACCACTAAATCCACATGGTGAGTTAGCTGCTTCTTTGAGCTGGGCTCAGATCATCAATAAGGGCCCACCTGAAACCCTACATAAGAACACAGACTGACCTCACTCCCCGGCCCATTGTCCCGATCACCTCCACTTGCTTCACTTGGCCTTTGTTCTTTAACACAGCACTTTCTCAAACATCAAAATATTCACCTATTTTGCTTTTTCTGTCTCAGCTTATAGATCATAAACTCTGCAGAACAAGCATCTTTGCTTCACTGATATGACTCTGGTACTCAGAACAATGAACAGCACACACTAGGGGCTTTATATACAAGATTTATATAGGTTGGCACTGCGGCTCACTTGGCTAATCCTCCGCCTGCAGCGCCGGCACCCTGGGTTCTAGTCCCGGTTGGAGCACCGGATTCTGTCCTGGTTGTTCCTCTTCCAGGCCAGCTCTCTGCTGTGGCCTGGGAGTGCAGTGGAGGATGGGCCAAGTGCTTTTGCCCTGCACCCGCATGGGAGACCAGGAGGAAGCACCTGGCTCCTGGCTTCGGATCAGTGCAGTGCGCCGGCCATAGCAGCCACTTGGTGGGGTGAACCAATGGAAAGGAAGACCTTTCTCTCTGTCTCTCTCTCTCTCTTACTGTCTAAATCTGCCTGTCCAAAAAAAAAAAAAAAGATTTATATTAAAAAAAATGAGCAAGTGAGCTGCTGCCTTTCTCTCACATATGAAATGAGATGCTTAATTACATGAGTTCCCTCCCAAACCCAATACTCCCAAATCTAGATTTAGAATATAAATCAAGTCACCAACCTGCCACCTTGAGTTCTAGAGTGGCCTCTTCATAGTGGCCTCCCTTCTGGAAGAAGCACGAGTACCTCCCATTGTCTGAAGCCCGGACATTCTGGATGCGCACGGCAGCCTGCCCTTGGGTGAGGAGGTCCCTCACCAGCGAAGTCCGCCCTGCATACTGGGGCATCTGCTCCTCGTGCTGCTCCCGGCCATTCTGATAGATGAGCACCGCTTCTGAGAACTTGGTACGGAACCACCGCAGCTCCATGTGCTCTGCATTCATGGCTGGGTCCAGGGAGCAGGGCAGGGTAGCCTCACCATCCAACATGGCCACAATGGGATCCGAGGGGCCCATCACCAGGAAATCATCTGTGGACAGAGAATAGACTGAGAACTTAGAGACACAGACAGGGGGCAGAGACACACAGACCACGGGGGAAGAACAGGCAGGCCGGGAACAGGCGCTGGAAGATGTGACCCCCAGGCTGAGGACTGAGCAGTGATGACTCTGAATCTGGATGAGACCCTCAGACCACAGGTTGTGGCCCAGAACGGATGTCACAGACTCCCTCATGAGCCTGGTCCCTGGCCCCAGAGTGTCCCATGAAGAAGAAATCTCTACCCCAGTGGGTCTCAACCTTGAGTGTACACCTAAATCAAAGGTCAGCTTGTAAAACCCAGATTACTAGGCCTACACCTAGAATGCCTCATTCAGTTGATCCAAGCATTTCAGAACAGTCCCCAGAGAGCTGACATTGTTGGTTCAGGAGCTACACTTTGAGAACCACAAATCTAACCTGGCCTGTGTCAGCAAACATGGAAACTGAGCACAGAGCACACCTGGGGCCTCCCTCAGAGCTCCTGGGTCACTCAGCCACATCCAGAAAACACCCACTCCCGTTCCTGTTTACTGGTTCTGCCCATATTTTTTCCTCCTCCATTGAATTCTAGTTGCACTTAAAACAGACCCCAATGTTCCTTCTATTATAAACCTGTCATTGCTCACAAGAGCTCGAATCAATGCTGGTTAAAGTGCAGTGCATTTTCTCTGTGTCTTTGCCCTTGGCCCTCTGAGGCCTGGCAACAGAGACACATATTTCATGTTTTGTTTTTTGTTTTTTTTTTTTTTTGACAGGCAGAGTGGACAGTGAGAGAGAGAGAGACAGAGAGAAAGGTCTTCCTTTTGCCATTGGTTCACCCTCCAATGGCTGCCACGGCCAGCACGCTGCGGCCAGTGCACCGCGCTGATCCGATGGCAGGAGCTAGGTGCTTATCCTGGTCTCCCATGGGGTGCAGGGCCCAAGCACTTGAGCCATCCTCCACTGCACTCCCTGGCCACAGCAGAGAGCTGGCCTGGAAGAGGGGTAACCGGGACAGAATCCGGAGCCCCAAGCGGGACTAGAACCTGGTGTGCCGGCGCCGCAAGGCAGAGGATTAGCCTAGTGAGCCACAGCGCCAGCCCAGAGTCACAGGAGGACTCTTCCGCAGGACAAGTGACCATGGGCCCAGAACAGCCCCCCTCAGCTCTGTGCTGTGTCACCTGGCCCAGCCACCATCGTCTCTCACCTGGAGGGTGGGAACAGACCAGGCCCTTGGTTGTTCTCTCTCCAGCCCCACTTGTGTTCCATTCAACATGTGAGCTAAACCATGTCTCTGCTGTGCTCAGAGCCCTTCCCTAGTTCCCCAGTCCCCTCCCCTCAGTGTCACACAGACCCAGCAGGGTGGACTCCAATACTCTGATCCCATTTCCTGCTTCTCTCCCCCAGGCTCCCTCTGCTCCAGCCAGCACTTACCTCTGCTGCTCCTTATCCTGGGAACACTGCCAGCTGCAGAATCATCTCTCCCTGGGAGTTCTCACAGCTCACCCCTGCTCCACATCCTTGTTCCTGTCTCACTGTCTACCCTGCCTGCATCCCTGAACATGGCTGCTCCCTGCATCCCAACTCCTGTACCCCTGACTGCATATTCCCTGTCCTAACTCATTTCCCATTAGCCACCCCCTCCCACAGACACAGGCCTGAGTGTTATCCACTGTCCTTTCTAGAAGGGGATACAGGGCAGCTCCGTTTAAGGTGCTCATAGAACAGCCCCTAAAAACCCACTAGTATGAGAGGAACAAATAAACAAATGAATGCTGAGAACACCTAAAAAGGAGGGAAGTGAAAAATTAGGAAAATGGGATTTTCAAATTTTTGATGCACCACTTTTTAAAACATCGCCAAAATATCCTTGGACAATTTTCAAGATCCCTAACATTCATGTGATGGTTTAGTGACTTGTCTTAAAGATATAATGGCAATCAATGGTTGGGGGAACTCCATTACCATCATCTTTCCAGAGCCTGGGCCTCCACAGACTCACCCCCTCCTGACAGAGAACACCTGGGGGCTCCTGTCACCCAGGAAGACCCAGGGTGAGGGACAGGGACAGACTCACCTGCAGAGCCCCACGTGGGCAGCTGGGCGAGGAGAAGCAGGGAGGGGAGACTGCAGAGCAGAGAGGGGCGGCAGCCGTGCTCCATGTCCTCAGAGCTGGGGAGAGAGGTAGGGAAAGAGGAGGTCTGGGCCAGCAGACTGGAGGCGGGAGGTGGGTCCAGCCCAGAGTGCCAGCTCCTAGGTGGGAGCAGAAGGCCCAGCCTGCCCTGTCAGCCCTCACAGAGGCAAAGCATTCCCTGCAGACTCATCACATCAGCAAGACGGGGCCTGTGCCAGCAGGGTAGCTGGGGAGGAACAGCTCTTTCTTGTCCCACCACAGTTGAGGTCCTTCTGCCTAGAAAACCAGGCCTTTCCTTTCCCAACTCCAGGAGTCCCGTGGAGGAAGCCATGCCTGCATCTATCCACCATCTACCCAGGACCCATCCCTTCCAAGACAGTTGGCCCAGACTCACCATGAAGGGCATGCTTGTTCCTGTTGTCAGTTGCTCTGTCCTCTCCAGCTGTGACCTGGGTGTCACCTGAGAAGCAGCAGACAGTTCATGAGCCATAGTGCCCAGCAGAGGTGCCCAGCAGCCTGTCTGTCTTTGTAAGTCTGTGGCATTCCCACCACAGGGCCCCGGACATTCCTCACTGACAAGATTCTCACTCTGTACATTTGAAGACTCCTGTTGGGAGGCAGGGCCACAAGAAGAGAAAATGATCCTTGCTCAGAAAAAGCCCCCACAACTGTTGTAAGGAGGAAGGGGGAGGCAGCCTTTTGTCCTGGGAAGGGACAGGCTCAAGCACCCCTCTGCAGGCTTAGGCACTCTTGGGGTCACCACTTCAGGCCAGGTTCTTGGCCTTGGACTCAGTTTCCTTCTCTGAAAATGTGGGCAACAATGCTTCTCAGCCTTTTGGCTAAGATCAAGTGTAGTATCTGTTCTTATCAGCTTAATATCACATTAAAATGTGGGTAACAGAATCCCCCTTACCATGCAATGAGAGGTCTTTATATTGGTTCAGTCACCACATGCATTTAGAACCTGGACTGGGTGGGGGGCATTGTGGCATAGTGGGTTAAGCAGCAACCTGCCACATCAGCATCCCGTATGGATACCCGTTCATGTCCCAGCTGCCCCACTTTCGATCCAGCTCCCTGATAATGTCCTCGGAAAGCAGTGGAAGATAGCCTGAGTCCTTGGGTCCCTACATCCATGTGGGAGACCCGGAAGAAGCTCCTGGCTCCTGGCTTCAGTCTGGCCCAGACCTGGCTGTTGCAGTTAACTCAGAGAGTGAACAAGCAGATGGAAAATTGGAAGATTGTCATTCATTCTCTCTCTCTCTCTCTCTCTCTCTCTCTCTCTCTCTTTCTCCCTTTCAAATAAATAAAGGGAAACCAGGAGAAGCACCTGGCTCCTAGCTTCGGATCAGTGTGGTGCGCCGGCTGCAGCGGCCATTGCGGGGTGAACCAACGGCAAAGGAAGACCTTTCTCTCTGTCTCTCTCTCTCTCACTGTCCACTCTGCCTGTCAAAAAAAAAATAAGAAAGTAACTGGGCCTGGTCCTAGTAGATACTTGAGAAATGGAATTAAAATAAATGAGCTAAAGTACAGCCTTCACTAATATTCTGGGTCTTCCTTGAACAAAGCTTTTATCCAGCCGCCCCTTCCCCAAGTCAGCTGCTAACTGCCTTCCTCCTCTTCACCCACTGGTGTCTTCAAAGCCAGCTTACCTGCTACTCTTTCTTCTCAGCTGTGAAAAGCTGTGACTTCCTGCATTGTCTTTAAATTCAGCAGCTCCAAAAACTTCAGAGTCACCGAGACCCCAGCAATTGGCAAATCCACTCTCCAAGCTTGAACCCACCGAGAGCTGCCCTCAGAGCTGCAGAGTCCACTTCCAGGTCCACTGCTGGGCCAAGAATCTACACTCCAGGTGGCCGTGGACTCCCAGAAGACCAAAGCAGAGCTGGCACCGGTGTAGCAGCCTCTGCAGAGGCCCTGGCCCTGGGGCCCCACCAAGCCCTCCCACCCAGAAGAGCCAGGCCCTCAGTTTCCTTCAACCATCTAAAGTGAAAGCTTGCAGAAGCAGCCTGGGCAGGGAGTGCCCTGCCCTGTGGACCTCGCTCCCTGTTGTCAGCATGAGCACAGTGCAGGAAATAGCACCACAGCTGCCCTGGGAGTGGCTGCAGCACAGCCTGCTTAGAGCTCACAGTGCCTCAGCCCCTCCCCCTCAGCCACCACCTGCCCCTGCCCAGCACCCAGACTTCCCAAGGCCCAGAGACGTTAGGGAACTTCTATGAAAAGACAGAAGAAACTAAATCTTATCCCATGCATATTATGTGTCAGGATATGAGCTACACACAGTAGATTCCTGAACCTCCTTGTCACAACTATAAGCAGATGCAGTAGGACAAGACCCCTGCCACCTCCTAACACTCAGGTATTTCCTAGGGAGGGAGGAGCTAGAGCTGCAGGGAGACCCTGCACCCCCCCTACAGCCATAACCCTCAGATCCAGCCCTGAAGGCAGACAACTCAGAGTGAGAAAGAGCTGCCATGGGGCCTTGGACTCTCAGCCACCCCAGGATGACACCACCTGGATACTCGTCTCAGCCGGCAGCCCAGCCTTTTGCCCTGAGTATCAGGTGGAAAGGGAGCACCCCAGTCCAGGTCAGATTTTCTGTATGAGCTCTGATAGGAAGGCAGCAAACAGTAATTCATCCCCCTCCCAGCTCACCAGGACCAATGCACAGCTGCTATAACATGACTGCTGTTCACTAAGCACCAATGATTTCTTGCTTAAAGTATAAATTATCCTAAAGCTATTGAGTTACTATTTTACTTCCTTTTAACACACAGGTCATGTTTCTTATCACTTAGTTGTTTCAAGTACTTTCAAAATAGTTTCAGATACATATCTAAGCATCAGGGCCAGCTTTGTGGGATAGTGCATGAAGTTACCACCTGCAATTCTGGCATCCCATATGGGCACTGGTTCATTTCCCGGTGGCTCCACTTTCAATCCAGCTCCCTGCTTATGGCCTGTGTAAAGCAGCTAACCATAGCCCAAGAATTTAGGCCCCTGTACCCATATGGGAGACCCAGAAGAACTCTTGGTTCCTGGCTTCATCCTGGCCCAGTCCCAGCTGTTGAGGCCATTTGGAGAGTGAACCAGAGGATGAAAGATCTCTCTCTCTCTCTCTCTCTCTAACTCTGCCTTTCAAATAAATAAATATTTTTAAAAGATATATATATAAAGCAATGTTTAATGAAAAAATATTAAACCAAGTAAGATTTAAAATGTGATCATTAATGAAAAGGATCAACCCTTTATATATTTTGTTATTTAGCAGAAGTAAAAAGAAGTAGAAACACAAGGAGCAGGGGCCCACATACTTGAGTCATCCTCTGCTGCTTTTCCCAGGCCATTAACAGGGAGTTGGAATGGAAGTGCAGGAGCTGGGACATGAATGTGTGCCCATATAGGATGCCAGGGTCTCAGCTGGCAGTTGTACCCACTACATCACAATGCCAGCCCCACTGGTTTATCTTCTATTGTATGAAACTTTCAAGAACTGTTTTCTGATTGCTTATTTGCCAGAAAAAGAAAAAGAAGCAGAAGCAGCACACATACATACACACAGGTGGATTGTGTTTTAGTTTTGACTAAAAATTCTTCTTTCAGATCTGCAATCAGCATGAACCTGACTGGTGGGCTGAGCTCTGATCTGGCAACCTGCCAAGCAGAGCCCCAGTAGACATCACCCCATGCTGATCCTGCCGTCTGCTCCTCAGGTGGGAAGAGCTCTCCCTCGCTGCACCTTCCCCACACCCTCAGTCCAGGCAGTCACCTCCGTAACTGACAGTTACACCTAAATGTGGCTCAGACACTTCCCTATGTCCTCAGGGTCTGTCCAGTCCCATGCAGAGATCATTGGCTGAGCCTTGTTGGCCTGGGACCCCTGCCCACCCATGCCCTAAATGGGAATCCACCTACTTCCAAATCTGAGATTCCTTGAAAGGTGAGCACAAATCAACCTCACCCAATACCCAAGATATACACAGGTAAAGGAATAAGGCCAGAGGGGGGAAAACAGTCTTATAGAAAATTTATGGGTCTGGCGTTGGTGTAGCAGTTAAAGCAGCTGCCTGTGACTCCCGTATCCCATAGGGGCACTGGTTTGTGTCCCAGCTGCTCCACTTCCAATCCAGCTCCTTACGAATGGCCAGGAAAAAGCAGAAGATGGCCCAAGTGCTTGGGCCACTGACACTTCACAGAAGACCCAGAAGAAGCTCCTGGCCCCTGCCCCGGCTATTGCAGCCACCTGGGGCATAAACCGGTAGATGGACGATCTCTCTGTCTGTCTGTCTCTCTGTGGCTCTCTGTGGCTCTCTGTAAGTCTTTCAAACAAATTAATAAATCTTTTATAAAAAATGTAACATATTTTATTAGACTAATAAATCAGCAAAAATAAATAATAAAACTGAATAGAGGGAACCATTGAGAAAAATGGTGAAAGAAAGGGAGAAAAAGGAAAGAGAAGATAGGAGGAAAACCCTAACTGATGAATTTTGTTACCCAGAACTGTTGTAGAAAAACTAAATCTTAAAGATGAATTTTCTGAATTGGTTCTGGGGTTTCAGAAATTAGCTCTCCAGCATGATTAGATTTTAGATTTTAAATTGCACTAATAGTTTATGACATCATACACAAAATATCACCACTGGATACACCTAGTCAAACACAAGAAGGGAGAATCCCAGTGATCATGTGTATGATGCTTGTACATTTTTATCAAACTAACGAGTCTGACTGATTGCTCCTAAAGGTATTGAACAAATTGGAGCAAGAAAAAGAGGCACTCATGGATTTGAAATCCCAGATCAAATGACCTAAAAATTTCTCTATGTCCCAGAAACAGACCCCCATCTTCTCACCTGCAGAGCAGAGATTGCTGAAAATCAAACTCAGATTCATATCCTCCAAGTGTCTTAATTAAAACACAAATTAAATTCCAGACCCCAAACTGTATCAGCTGTAAAAATAAAAGGCATTGTTTGGAAAGAAATAGGAACCTGAAAGTTGGAAAGGGGAGTGTGTGGGCAGACTGATTGAGCTTGGGATACTTAGTCCCTAAATTTTGTTGGGTCTTTTTTTTTTCCCACAGAAGTTGCCTTTCCACCTGCCAAAAATGTATACTGTTCATTTTTCTCTCACATTCTCCAAAGAGACTTGCAACCTTTTGGCAGAGTAACTGCAACTAAGGAAAAGTAAATTAATCAGATCGTGCAGAAACTACTGACACTGGCTCTGAACTGACGCAGAGGTCTAGGAGATCCAGTACATTATTGTGCCCCCGCCCAATACAGCTCGTCTGAGCTAACAAAGTTTATGGAGGGGAAGTGATCAATGAAGTTTTAGACCAGGTCCCTATGACAGTGGGTCCAGTGGGACCCAAACCCATCCTGTAATTATTTCCTAGTTTCAGAAGACACGAATGGAACAGACGCTGCTGCGGTTTGAGTGTGGTGTGAGTGTTTCCCTCACAGGTCCATGTGCTGGAAGCTTGGTCCTCAGCACAGAAATGTTAAGGTGATGGAACCTTTAAAAGGTGGGGCCTAGTGGAAGGTAGTTATCTCACAGGAGCCCTACCCTCACGATAAGATTAATGCTATCTCATGGGAAAGGGTCAGGTCTCCTGTGTTGGGATAAGCTCTGAAATCAGTCCATTTGCCATTGCCAGGCTATTGGGACTTTCCAGATCCCAGGACCACAAATAAAATAAATCTCTCCTATTTTTATATTTACCCAGGATTAGGTATTTTGTTATAGCAATATGAAAAGAAGTAAGATAGGAAATGCGTCCTGAGGAATGGGACATTGCTATGAGAAAATACTTGAAAATGGCAAAAGAGCTCTGGAACTGCAGGTTGGGTAGAAGTTGGAAAAGTTTGGAGGAGCTGGAAAGAAAGCCCCAGAGAATTACAGGTGTTTTTAGGAAAACCTCAGCAGTCCGGGCAATGAGAAAGGCCAGAACTTTTTTCCCCCCACAGGCAGTTAGACAATGAGAGAGAAAGAGAGAAAGGTCTTCTTTTTTCCCGTTGGTTCACTCCCCTAATGGCCACCACTGCCGCTGCACTGCGCCGATCTGAAGCCAGGAGCCAGGTGCTTCCTCCTGGTCTCCCATGCGGGTGCAGGGCTCAAGCACTTGGGCCATCCTCCACTGCCTTCCCAGGCCACATCAGAGAGCTGGACTGGAAGAGGAGCAACCAGGACAGAATCTGGCGCCCCCACTGGGATTAGAACCCAGGGTTCCGGCGCCACAGGTGGAGGATTATCCTAGTGAGGCACATTTATTTGAAAGACAGAGTTACAGAGAGAGGTAGAGATAGAGAGAGAGGTCTTCCATCCGCTGGTTCACTCCCCAGATGGCTGCAATGGCTGGAGCTGCACTGATCTGAAGCCAGGAGCCAGAAGTTTCTTCCAGGTCTCCCAAGTGGGTGCAGGGGCCCAAGGACTTGGGCCATTTTCTACCGGTTTTCCAGGCCATAGCAGAGAGCTGGATCGGAAGAGGAGCAGTACCCATATGGGATGCCGCGCTTCAGGGCAGGGCTTTAACCCACTGTGCCACAGCGCTGGCCCCCCAGAACTTTTTAAAGATTGGATAAGAAGTCGTGACATGAATTCTGGTGGATATGTGGACAGTAAAGACAATGCTGATTAAGTCTCAGATGAAAATGAGGACTCTCCAAATGGAAAATGGAGTAAAGGCCACACGGGTTGCATCACTACAAAGACTCTGACTGCATGGTATCCATGCCCTACAGCTTTTTAAAAGCAGAGTTTAAAAGAGTAAAGACCTGGCTGGCGCCGTGATTACTAGGCTAATCCTCCGCCTGCGGCACCAGTACTCCAGGTTCTAGTCCCGGTTGGAGCGCTGGATTCTGTCTTGGTTGTTCCTCTTCCAGTCCAGCTCTCTGCTGTGGCCCAGGAAGGCAGTGGAGGATGGCCCAAGTGCTTGGGCCCTGCACCCACATGGGAGACCAGGAGGAAGCACCTGGCTCCTGACTTCAGATCAGCACAGT